TGGTTCACTCCCCAGTTGGCCACAATGGCCAGAGCTACACCAATCCGAAGCTAGGAGCCAGGAGCTTCTTCCGGGACTTCCACGTGAGTGCAGGGACTCAAGGGCTTGGGCCATCCTCTACTGCTTTCCCAGGCTATAGCAGAGAGCTGTGTTGGAAGTGGAGCAGCTGGGACCCGAACCGGCGTCCATATGGGATGCTGGCACTGCAGGCGGAGGCTTTATCCACTACGTCACAGCGCTGGCCCCAAGAAGCATTATTCTATATATTACATTTATTAATTCATTGTATCCTTCAAATAATCCTATGAGGTGGATTACAGTTATTATATACATAATGAAACGCGGAAATAGCAATGTTAAGTAGTTGATCAAATTCACAAAAGCAATGGTATGGGTATGGTGGAATGCAGGTTACACCATCACTTATGTTGCACACATCCTATCACAGAGAGCCTGAGAATGAGTCCCACCTCTTCTTCTAATCCAGCTGCCTATTAATGCCCCTGGGATGCAGCAGGTGATGGCTCAAGTTCTTGAGTACCTGCCATCCATGCATTAAACCCAAATGGAGCTCCTATCTCCTGGCTTTGGCCTGGCCCAGTCTTGGTCACTGCAGGCACTGGAGAATGAACCAGCAGATAGAAGGATATCTCTCTCCTTCTCTGTCACATTGTTTTTCAAATAAATATAATTTGAAAAAAAAAATCACATAGGCCATAAGTAACAGAGGTACTCTGGAGAATTTCTGTCTTTAATCTACTACACTGCTTCTCTCATCTAAACCACATATCACTTCATCTGAACTAACGCAACAGACCCCTCTCCAACCTCCTTACCTAGATTCAACTCACTTCCAAAGCATGACTTATCCAGAAGACAAAATGATCTTCAAAAGTTGCAAGATAAGGGGGTTGGCATTGTGCTGCAGCAGTTTAAGCTTGGTTTGATTTAAACCCGGTTAAGTGCCTGGTTCAAGTCCTGGCTGCTTTGCTTCTAATCCAGCTCCCTGATAATGCACCTGAGAAAGCAGTGAAAGATGAGTCAAGTACTTGGGCCCCTGTCACCCATGTGAGAAACCCAGATGGCGTTCCAGCCTCCTGGCTTGACTTGGCTCAACTTTGGTTTTTGTAGCCATTTGGGGAATGAACTGGAGGTTGGAGGATCTCTTTCTCTCTTCCTGCCTATCCTTCCATCACTCTGTCTTTCAAATAAATAGAATAAATCTTTTTAAAAATTGCAAGATGTGATTATGGCATAATCCCTCCACAACTCCACATTTACTCCACCATCTTGTCCAATGTGCCTTTTCCTGCCTTACTTTGTTATCCTTTTCCTCAGCTTCTGAACTCTAAGCACCGTGACCCTCTCATTCCTTTGCACCACAGGATCTTTGTGCATTCTATCCACCTAAGCTGCAAGATTTTTCTCTGCTTCCACTCCCATCTGCCTTACTTACTTAATGTCTACATATCCCTCAGGTCACAATTAAATGTCACTTCACACTTGGGAAAGCTTTCTCCACCTCTAGATTAATCCAAGTTCTGATAAGGCATGGCGGATGCTGTCAAAGAATCACTAGATTATCAACCTCATGAAGGCAGAGTTTTTATGCTTTGTTCATCAATTCATCTCCAGCAGTAAGACCAGCGTGACTTGGGAACCAATGCACATTACCACAGCAGCAAGGCTTAGCTCCTTTGCTCAGGTGGAAGTTCTTTGAGGTCAAGTACTGTGCCTTAGAAAAGAGGCTTGCTATAGCAAAGAGAACATGGCCTTAAGTCCCTATTTCAAAATCCAATTACACTACCACCAAGCTGAGGCATGCCCAATTTCTCAAGTTCCAATTCATCTGTAAAATGGAATAATGACATTGTGGAGACTAAGAGTGATATGAAAAAGAAAGTGCCAAGAACCTAGCAGCATATGACCTCATTCTTTTCATGCTAGATGTGTCTTTGTGTCTCAGGGTATCAATTACAAAATAATGAGAATGCAGAGCTAAAACTGATAACCACTCCTCTCTACCTACAGGATTCTTCCCAGGCCATAGCATCCTTTTCTATCACTTGGTCTGCATGGGTGCCACCATGTGGAAACCTGCAAAAATGTTTCAGTGAGCATGAGTTTAAGAATTTGTTATGCATACAGGAAATGAAAGTGATAAAAGGAACATGATACATGTTAAGGATCCATTAAGTACCAGGCATTTTCATACATTATCACATTTAACTCTTAGCAAAATGAAATTAATTGTATAAATGAGGACATTGAGGCTCACACACAGTCTAGAATAGGTAAGTAGCAGAAACTCCAATCTGAGCCCAGGTCTCTAGGACTCTCTCCAGGGTGCTACTTCCAAAATCATTCTCTTCCTCACTCCTGTTTCTGGGTCAGTGTGCACTAAGAGTCCCAAGGCATCCTGAGGTGTCTTTAAAGCCAACCTGGCTCTGGTACATGTGGAAGAATCAGGTAACTTAGTAATGTTTGACAACGCAGCATCTCAAGATAAATAAACATTTGCAAATAAGGTACACATATTGGAGTCTTCATATTAAAAAGCTGCCTGCCACTGGGGTAGAAAACCAATTCTGAATTAAAAATTGCCTAATGCCAAAATATTGGCTAGTGAATTTTTAACTCATCTAATCTTGAATTAGCTTTCATTTAGTGAGTTAAAATTAAGTGGGCACTTCATCATCACCATTCTATGGGCCTAAATGAAGTTACACAGAATTAGGGATGAGGTCTTGAAGAGAGGAGGACAATGGCAAAGAAAGCTGTGTCCTCTGTCTCTGAGATGATGCCCCAGCTCCAGGTTTGAGATGGAGAACTGGGCTTCTGACATCTCAAACAACTGACACACCAGATACCCAAATCCACCCACTGCCTGTGTTGCAATATCCTGGAATACCTGTTGGAATCCTACTTCCCAGGGCCCACCATTCTCTGAGAATGGTGCCCAGGAATCAGCATTTTAACAAGCATCCCTAGACACTTCTGACTCATCCCAAGCAGGAGAACAGCGTTAGAAGATCTGTAAAATTATGATTGTGATGATTTGGCATATTTATTTACTTCAAGGAGATTTTATTTTTTCTGAACCTTGAAACATTCTTAGTGTGCTATTTAATTTTTTATTTTTCTAAATTTTTTATTAACATGTAATACCTGTACATCTTTGTGGGGCCCAGCAAAACATTTCAACAGATGGACAGTGTGAACTCATCAGGCCAGGCAATCAGCATCCCTACCTCCCAGTAAACTACGAAACTTTTTAAATGAATATGGGATTAACTAAAACATCCCATCAGCCCTTAAGATGAGACAGTCTCCATTTCAAAATGGGGGAAATAACATCTTGAAAAACATATGCACGCCCTTCTTTAAATCCAGTCAGGAATCAACTCGTTCACCCAGGTGGGGAGTCCCAGTCACTAAATCCTTGATGAGAAGTTTTGTATTGTGTCTCAGAACCACTCAGTTGGCACATCTTTGTATTCAACTCCAAGTTAATCCCACCTGGTGAGGGAAGGGCACATTTTCTAACTTTATAATCTCAGCATGTTCCTTACTTAGGGATAGATTCTCTGACTCAACTCCTAATTGCAAATTCAGGTCACTCTTTCATTCTTCTCCAAACCTCCAGAAAAGGCCTTCTTTCTTTTTTTTCTTTTCTTTTTTTTTTTTTTAAAGATAAATTACTTCCTTTTCTTACTCCTTTCCATTGTCAAAGCAGGTCCTCAAATCCATCACCTTGCCTGCTACCCTTAAAAGTCTGGATATGGGAAATTAATTTTAAAACGAAACCTGAGAGCTGCACTGACACCACAATTAGTCCACCAACTGCAGCTCCTGCACCTTTGCTTCCTGAAACTTGTGGGCCAAATCCCCATGAGATTGTTCATCAGTCTTGGGGTTTTACTGGAGTCTACATTCAGGTGATCTCTGAGAGTTTTTAATCACCTTGGAAACATGAAAACAGGCTCCTTGAATATGCACAAAGAGTATTTTTTAAGCACCATAGGAAAACAGAGCTTAGTTACCCCTAAATATAAGAAATGTGTTATAAAACTGCGACTGATTGGATAGCAGCTTTCATTAAGGATAGTTACCTTTCACTAGAGAAGTTACAAATACAGGGCTTTTGCTAACCACATGGCAGTGGGAAATAGCTCAAAAATACCCCATTGCCGTATTTATTTTATTCATTTTTTTTTCTTTTAGAAATCAAATGGCTTTACTATCAAACTGCCCAGACTATTGCCAATACAGTCACCATCCGTGTGTATGAAGCAGTGCACACTAGTCATAGTCATCTGTATGGTTTGTAGAAAACCTGGTGAGAAGAAAAGTGTAGAGGACACACTCATAGAAGACATTTTGAACCTTAAAATGGAACTGTTCGTTTTGATGCAAACGTGTGTGTGTGTGTGTGTGTGTGTGTGTGTGAGAGAGAGAGAGAGAGAGAGAGAGAGAGAGAGAAAGAAATAGAGACAGAGAATTTCTCGGGACCATCCTTTCTAATATTACAAGTTGTCTAGCCTGAATCATTAGTACATTATCTCTGTTGAATGATCAGATAAATGAAAGCAATTGTTTATTCTGTGTGTGGAATGGACTAAACAGCATGGTTCAAATACTCCCTTTTTAGTTCTTTCACAATAAATTCAACCAAATTTATGGAGCGCTATCCTGTGCCAGGCACTGCCAGGCGCCAGAGACACCAAGATGAATGAAGCCACGTTCTGGTTTGTTAGGAATCTCTCTCAAAATTTGGGGTCAGACCAGGAGTGGTGTGGATACCCTCGCTGCTGCCGGCTCTGGGAGCACCATACGCCCATCAGCCCAGGAGCCTGGCGCCAGCCAGGGTTCTCTGCATTCTCCAACAGCCAAACATTCAAGTTCAACTCCGGGGCCAGGGCGCTCGCTCTGCAAAGCGCCAGGTTCCGTCCACCTTTCTGCCCGCGCGTCCGGGGACACAAGACCCCGTGCCCACTTACTTTGCCGCTGTCACTCACGCCGAGGAGGTGGTCCCGCAGCACCTCCATGGGGCAGGTCCAGGTGGAGTGGACGAAAGTCCCTCGGAAGATGTGCGCCAGCGGCGGCATCCGGGCGGCACACATGTCGGCAGCGCAACGCAGCGCGGGGTCCGCGGGCCAAGCAGGGCGCACCGGGCAGAGGCGCGGCCGGGGTTCCCTGCGGCTGCGGGTGGCTGCGGAGCCGGCGCGCACTCCGGCCTCGTACTACCCCCGCTTCCCCCGGCGATCGCCTGCCCCCTGCAGGCCGCGCCCAGGGGCTGGCTCCCTGCCGCCTCAATGCCAATAGGATTTTTCTCCAGCGAGTTGGCTCCTCGCTCCTGTGGGGTGTGGTTTTCTCCCCACCTCTGCGTTAGTTTGTGATGTGTTAACTCTTTGAGTTATCAAAATCAACCTCGTCTACCTTTCTTTAATTGGCACCTGTAGAGTTGCGTCTGCCCGCCTTTTCTGCCCCCTAAACTCTTAAGGGTCACTTATTTCTTCCACCTGCGGCATCCAGGAAAGTCAGCTAGGGCTGACCAGTTTCGTTTTCAGCTCTTGGGGGCTGCGGAATATGTCTCCGTCCCCACCTGAGGTTCTGGGAGAGTAGCTTTCCCAACCTTAATGGAAATGAACTGGGGATTCATTTGGACCCCAAAGCTGTTCTTTTTACCTTAAAGCCAGTGTTTTGTGCCTGTCCACAAACAATTTCAATGTTAGTTTTTCTCATGCTTAAAATAAATGACTCTCTTTGATTTGCTTCCAGGTGTTCAAGGAGAGAAAATTAAATTCTTACATCGCTGGGAATGATCGCTGGGTGTGGAGGCCTGGATTCAGTTGAGACTAGGGACAAGGCAGGTGGGTCTTGGCATCTTCATTGATCTCCTTTGTGGAAATGGAGCTGAGACTGGGTTGCTACTTCTAGCTCAGAATCCCCTCTACAAAAACTGCTCCTGGCTCCCTTACTAAGTTCCTGCAGGAAAACCAACAGATTCCCTGATGTTTCCTGTGGCTCGACATTGCTCTCTTCTCATCACTCGGTCACCTCAAAGCCAGCTCTTTGGAGTAACCTCTGAGACCACCAAATTACATTTTTATTCCATTAACCTGTTTCGCTTCTGCCACTGTATCCTATTCATCCTTACTCATTTTGCCTTTATTCATTTATTCCTGCTTCCTTTCCCCCCAAACACACACACTCACCAGTAACAGTAAGAGAATGGAACATGTTTTATGCCTAGAACAGGGCTTGATGTTCCATACATATTTGTTAAATAAATGAATGACTTGTTTTTCTGTAAGCAAAGCAATAACCTGAGATATATACCTACTATGACTCCTCCATAAAGGGTGAGGGTCTCATTGCAGTGTGTGAGCAGACGGTCTCTGAACTGTTGCTTTTATGACACACAGCTGGCTTATGTAAGTAATTCATTCCCTTCTTGGTTCCTTCACCTGTCCAATCCCAAAGTCTCCAGTGACCAACTCATACTGCTTCCTGTGGAATTTTCTGGAAGTCTGGCTATCCAAGAAATCCAAAGCTCCAGGCTCAAGGAGGTGGTTGGTTATCCCCCCAAGGACTTTGAATTAGGATTCCCTGAAGCTGAGGTTTTTACACTCTTACCTCTCACAGACTTCAGCCCTTTCTCCAGTCTACTTTCTCCTGACTCTGCAGACTACATTCCTTGCACACAGTCCCAACAGCCAGGACAATGAAGACATTCTGTTCACCTGCGCTTGTACCCGCTCAAAGCTCAGAAAGAAAGGTGGAGAAAACATATATATGGACTCTCTAAAGTAGATACAGCTACAGCTAATCAGTTTGTTTAATGAAAACAACCTAAATATCCCACAATTGAGACTAGTTTTGTGAATCAGAATATATCTACCTAGTAGACTAATAGTTATTAAAACCCCTAAGTGATGGGGCAGGCATTTGGCACAGTAGCTAAGCCACCGATTTGGGATGTCTCCATCTTATTTCTGAGTGCCTGGGTTCAACTCCCATCTGCACTTCCAACCCAGCTTCCTGCTACTGCACACCCTGGGAGGTAGCAGCGATGGTTCAAGTACTTGGGTCCCTGCCATCTGTCTGAGAGACCTGCACTGAATTTCAGGCTCTTGGCTTCAGCCTGACCCAGCCCTGGCTATTGCACACATTTGTAGAATAAACCAGAACTAGAAGCAAATCAAAGAGATTCACTTATTTTTAAGTATGAGAAAAAGTGGTATTGTAATTGCTTGTGCATAGACACAAGAACCAAAACACTGGCTTCAGCATAAAAAGAACAATTTTGGAGTCCAGATGAACCTACAGAGGTTGGGGCCCCCACTACAGCTGGGTAAGCCATGCTTCCAGAAATAAAAAGTTATAGCATACTGACTAGAATTAAAAATATGCACTAAATGAATATTGCTGTGCTGAGATAGTGGAATTGCTACAGAATTTGGGTTTGATGTTTATAAACATTGTTACTACTTGCTTTACAAGTATGTAATTTTAGATAAACTTAATCTTTTTTTCTCATTTTCAATTATCTTTATATACAGAAGATCAATTTAGTATATATTAAGTAAAGATTTCATCAGTTTGCACCCACACAGAACATAAAGTGTAAAATACTGTTTCAGTACTAGTTATAGCATTAATTCACATTGGACAACACATTAAGGACAGAGATCCTACATGAGGAGTAAGTACACAGTGACTCCTGTTGTTGACTTAACAATTTGACACTCTTGTTTATGGCGTCAGTAATCTCCCTAGGCTCTAGTCATGAGTTGCCAAGGCTATGGAAGCCTTTTGAGTTCGCTGACTTCGATCTTATTTCGACAAGGTCATAGTCAAGGCCGGTGCCGCGGCTCACTAGGCTAATCCTCTGCCTTGCGGCGCCGGCACACCAGGTTCTAGTCCCGGTCTGCGCACCGGATTCTGTCCCAGTTGCCCCTCTTCCAGGCCAGCTCTCTGCTGTGGCCTGGGAAGGCAGTGGAGGATGGCCCAAGTGCTTGGGCCCCGCACCCCATGGGAGACCAGGAGAAGCACCTGGCTCCTGCCATCGGATCAGCGCGGTGTACCGGCCGCGGTGGCCATTGGAGGGTGAACCAACAGCAAAGGAAGACCTTTCTCTCTCTCTTTCTTTCTCTCTCTCTCTCTCTCTCTCTCACTGTCCACTCTGCCTGTCAAAAAATTAAAAAAAAAACATAGTCAAAGTGCAAGTTCTCTCCTCCCTTCAGAGAAAGGTACCCCCTTCTTTGATGGCCCATTGTTTCTACTGGGATCTCACTTGCAGAGATCTTTCATTTAGGGTTGTTGTTGTTGTTGCTGTTTTTTTTTTTTTTTTCTTTTGCCAGAGTGTCTTGGCTTTCCATGCCTAAAATACTCTCATGGGCTCTTCAGCCAGATCCGCATGCCTTAAGGGCTGATTCTGAGGCCAGAGAGCTGTTTAGGACATCTGCCATTCTATGAACAGCAGACTCATAGAATGGCAGATAAACTTAATCTTAAACACATGAATGGCTGCAGGTATTAGCACTCCTTAGGCAAGTGCTAGCTCTTTTGAGCAATATACAGCTTCAGAACCAGCTCCAGTTCAGTTGAAGACACCTGAGTTCAGGATCCCGAACCCCAGGGGCAGTGTTGCCTGGCAGCCCAGCTCAGCTACAGTCAGGAAGTCTTGTACTATTCCAGCCAGTTCTCTCCTGGCAGATTTGGTAACCCCTTCAACTTGCAATTTTGAGTCTCATCCTCATATCCCCTATAAAATGTTCTTCAGACTATGAGTTTTGAATAAAGAAAGATGTTTTAGTAAGCCTTTCATTACTAAAACAAACAACTGAGAGGAATTACAAAGGAAGAAATGTTATTTCATCTCATGGTTTTGGGGGTTCACAGCCCAAGATCGGGGCACCTCTGGTCTGGCATCTGATGAGGCAGAGGCTACCAATGGCAGGGCTTGTGTGAAGGGAGAATCTCAGGGTCTCCCAGGAAGCAGAGGAACAGGGAGAACAATATCTTCTTCTAAAGTTAGGAACCCAATCCAATCCAATCACATTTTTTTTTTTACAGGCAGAGTGGACAGTGAGAGAGAGAGAGAGACAGAGAGAAAGGTCTTCCTTTGCCATTGGTTCATCCTCCATTGGCCGCCGCGGCCAGCACACCGCGCTGATCCGATAGCAGGAGCCAGGTGCTTCTCCTGGTCTCCCATGGGGTGCAGGGCCCAAGCACTTGGGCCATCCTCCACTGCACTCCCTGGCCACAGCAGAGAGCTGGCCTGGAAGTGGGGCAACCAGGACAGAATCCGGCACCCCGACTGGGACTAGAACCCTGTGTGCCGGCGCCGCTAGGTGGAGGATTAGCCTATTGAGCCGCGGCGACGACTCCGATCACATTCTAAAAGCCCCACCCCCAAGCACCACAATTGGATCAAGGCTCCACTCTAAGTACCATCAATCCATGACTTTAGATCTTAAAGATCTGTATGAGTTGGGATGGGAGAAGGAATGAATCGTTTTCAAAGTATAGCAAAAGGAGTACAAAGCTCTCAAAATTATCTTCAAAATATAGCCCCAACACCTTCAGTGCCCTACATCCACTGTCACCTCCTTCAGGCGAAGAGAGTCCTTCTTGGGCAGCGAGTGTTCCTGAGGTAGCTGCTGCCTCCTTCTTTGGGCTGTTTCTCTTCCACATGCCATGGATCTGCTTTGCTCCAGCTCTTCACTTTGCCTGTAGCCCACTTTGACCTATTCACACCACACCTGTCTCATTTTCCCAGCCACTCCTCTGGCTAAAACCTCAACTGAATCACCCACTATACCCTGAGCTTCAACAAGGAAATCTTTATACCTCTGCCCTCTCCCTGGTGTTAGATGTTCCTCCTCTGAGTTCACAGAGTGCTCCAATTGCTTCTTTGCTTGTCTGTCTCCTCCAGAAGATTGTGTCTCCCAAAGAACCTTGTCTTCCTCTCTCCTGCCTTTCTGTATATCTCCTTTACACAATGCCTGGTCAATACCAGCTGCTCACTGTAGGAATACTGAATTGTGAAAGATGACTATATTGCCTGTGTTTTAGTGCTAAAACCAAGAGGCTATAGTGGGTTTGCTAATGGTGAGCAATTCAATGAGACTAGAACTTAAGGCACATTTTTTCATTTATTTAGTTTTCCAATATTTTATCTTTTTTTTTTTTTTGACAGGCAGAGTGGACAGTGAGAGAGAGAGACAGAGAGAAAGGTCTTCCTTTTTGCTGTTGGTTCACCCTCCAATGGCC